CCAGTTTTGAAATTAACCTTTTCATTAAGAAGATCTTTTTTTCTATTCATTAGTTTCATATTTTTCATAATATTTTCGGTGTGTCTAAAGTGATGTTGCATGTCTATCACCATATTTTTCTTGGTTGAAAAAATAATCACATCACGATATTCATCAGGAATATAAATGTTTTGATGTTTCTTTAGCTGTTTCTCAATACGTCCAAATGCTCTATCCGAGTCTAAGTATGAGTGTCCTACCTCTGGAAACTTGTGCTCAATCGTTTTAAAAATGCCTTTGCCCACAAGATACTGAAACAAACATACCATCAAAAAATTTTTATTTTGCCCAGCACACGAGTCCGTCCACAAAATAAGATGATCTTTTCCTTTGAAGGCTGGATCCACTTCGATTGTTCGTAGAAAACAACTAAAAATTTCCGAGCTACCTCTGGAAGCTTGATTTTCCGTCCATGTGCAGAAAACAGTTTTTTTCCACATTTTTGGTTATTATGTGGATTCCCAAGTTATAAAACCACATTTGTCTAAGATAAAAGGCTTTAGAGGTACTAAGCCTAGGTAGGGGCATAGTTTGCTGTAGATCCAATGTTACATACACAGTGTTATCTGATTTGCTAGCAAATTCTCTATCTGTTTTTTGAGATTCAAACGCTGATTTGTAATTTTCAGCGTGCTCTTCATTACTTTTGCCAGAATCGCATGTGCTACATGTATCGCTTTTGGGATAACCAAAAGACAGATTAAATTCATTATTAAAAATGAATCGGTATGTAGCCTCTTTTATTTGAAATTTTTCATTTCTTCCGTCAGTTCGGCATTTGTCTAGGTAAAGTTTATGCATTCTAGGGATCGAAAGTTGCGGTGAAAGATATTTTTTGTGAATATTACAATGCCTGGAGTAGTGCGACTCTTCTGCTGGGAAACTGGAAATATGCTCAATGACGTAAGAAGCAACTTCAGCAGGGGTCTTGTTAGGTCTAACTGCGTGTTTTCCCCTTCTGTCCGGTTCAGGAGCATTTTTCCCTGATTTTATTGAAGTTTGGATCAGGTCAACCTTTTTCAAGCTGATTGCAAACAAGGAAATGAAAGCCCGTTTGCATACGGTAGTTTGCCGGCCACTACAAGTTACATTGTATTGGTAGGTGGCAGTTTTATGCTTTAATGCTCCAGTTTTCTTTCTCATTGGTTCCTTTTTTTTAATGCTCTTAAAAAGAAGGCAGTTTTTTGCATTTACATCTAGTTTGTAGTAGGAAGAAAATATAGATTCCCTTTCTTCTACAGTTATTGACTGAGAACACTTGTAGCGGCAATTTTCATTGCACAAAATCCCAGAGTTAACGGTTTTAGCGGGTTTTACTTGGCCTATTTTAGAAATGTAGGCCAGACCACTTTCTCTGCACTTGGCACGTTTTCGTGCTTTCCATTGTTCAATATTTTTCTGTCTTTTTCTAGTTACTTTTACTTTTAGTGGAAATATTTTCTTCTTGCTTTTAGTGGGCAAGTTAAGAGCCTCTTCATTTCCATTTTCAGGAAGGGCAACGATCTCATCATATGGAATATTTCCGTTTACTTGTAGTTCAAAATGTATATTGCCATCATTCATAATCTCATTTTCAGTTTCTTCACTCACCACTTCCTTATTGCCTTCCTCATTTCCATCCTCATCTGATTCGATATCATCTTTCTCATTTTCATTAGGAACGTATTCATCTCTTGAGTCATCACTAAATAATGATGAAAGGCTTTCATCATCTGAATCAAGTTTTTCTCCGTAATCTAAAACAGAACATTAGCATAAGCCTAAATTTGCCTGGTTTAATTTCAGCTGTTAAGAAAAACAAAACATTAGTTATTAATCTGGTCTGCTGATTTAAGTCCCTATTGACAGTCAATGATTAACAGAAAATAATTACTGTTAAATAAGCTAAGTACCACATTTGAAGGCAACAATCACGTGGGTCGGATAGTGTAATTGGTTAAGACACTCACCCAGAGTGAGACATCAGAGTTCTAATACCACCTTACCATTTCATTAGATTTTTTTAACTAGCCCATTGTTCAAATAATATGTATTTCTAATGTACTTACGTAGTTTTTTGTAAACTCCATGTTTGTTTTTGTTGGATGGTCGTGTACGTTCTGTACCTTGGATTTTCAGTTCTAGTTCATCAGAATGATTCTGATAATTTGAGCTACAAGGTTGAATGTAGATACTAGAGCCATCCAGTAGGTTTTTATGTTCTTTGGCTATATTTGAATCTGAAAAAAATGATATCACTAATGTTGCCGTTTTATTATGATGTTGATATTTAATTTAGCGCTTAATGAAAATATGATTTTATCAATACTAATGGATTTTTATTGATTTACAAAATTCGGTGTCATTAAAAGCATTCTAGTAGGCTTACAGCCCAAATAAACTTTTTGTAAACAACAGCATAAGACGTGCCGATGCTTTGCAAGTTACATAGGCCTAGACTTAGATTGTAGGCTAGACGTAATGTAAAAACTTGGCTTATCTTTAAATAAATGAAAATCAATCAATTAAAATTAATATTTTGCAAAATACTTGAAACTACTAAAGAATAATATTTACCTGATATCTTGGTTTCATTATCACCAACTTCTTCTGTAATAGTGGATTCTTGTTGTAATTGTTGTAAAGCCAAGTCTGTCAAAAATTTTCCCCTAGTACTAGTCATAATAAATCACTTTATAACTAATTAAATAAACTAAAACAGCTAAGAACACTAACACAAGCAGTAGCGGGTGTTGCACTTGCACATAACCTAAAAACTTTAATTTGTTGTCATCCGATGTCAGCTGACGAATACATGAAGGAGGTATGTCACAATTTTTATTCTCTGTGGTATGGATGAAGGAGGTAAGTACTTTATCTTGTTACTTACCTCCTTCATTCACTAGATATTTAAAGTAGTATGGTCAATTACCTCCTTCATACGCTGGCTATCTCAATTATTTTAAATCATAGAAGGCTGGGGATAAGTGGAAAATTTAAGTTAGCACTTACCACCTTCATCCATGCGAATAACTCATTTTCTTAAAAAATGTCACTTACTCCCTTCATCCACTCACCCCTTCAATTATCAGTACAAATAATTCGTGATGAGTATGATGATATGATCGTATGATATGATTGGAGTTTATTTCGAATATCACCAACATGCCGCTATTGCCTCACGTATATATTTTGTAAGATATCGTGACAGGAGACATTATGGCAAAGAAGTATTTGAAAGAAAGGCAAAAAGATTAAGAGAAACTGGTAGTTTTTCTCGTCCTTGTTTTAAACGACGTAGTAGAGTTATGACCGAAGATAATTCAATCAATGTTCTTGCTTTAATTCAACAGAATCTACATATAAGTAGTCCGAATCTCTACTTCTTTGCCACAATATCTCCTGCCAGGATATCTTACAGAATATATACGTGAGGCAATAGCGCCATGTTGGTGATATTGGAAATAAACTCCAATCATATCATATAATTTGATATACTCATCACGAATTATTAGTACTGATAATTAATTACTAATATTGAAGAAAATAAGAAAATCAAACCTCGTGCCTCAACAAGTCGTAAACCCGAAGATGCCCATTCACTATTACGCCTTATTGAGAGACATTTCCCCACAATGTATCAGGCCACCGAAGAAAATAAAAGACCACCATGTAAACGGTGTGTTGTAGGTGCGAAGCACAAGGTTCGGAAAGAATCACGCTATACTTGCATAGCTTGTAATGTGCCTCTATGCGTTACACAGTGCTTTGAAAAGTACCATTCTATAAAAAAATTTTAATTTTCGTTTGTAAACATTTGTTTGTAGTTTTTTACGCGCTATACTTGCATAGCCTATAATGTGCCTCTATTTTTTCTATCTAATTTTCCTTTTAATTTAGTCAAAACTTTTATTTATATTTTACATTTGAATATTTTGTGTACCATTTGTTTGTGGTGTTTTACACGCTATACTTGCATAGCCTGTAATGTGCCTCTATGCGTTACAGCATGTTTTGAAAAGTACCATTGTATAAACAATTTTTAATTTTTCTTTTAATGTAGTCAAAACTTTTATTTATATTTTGCATTTGAATGTTTTATGTACCATTTGTTTGTAGTTATTTACACGCTATAGTTGCATAGCCTGTAATATGGCTCTATGCGTTACAGCATGTTTTGAAAAGTACCACTGTATAACAATTTTTGAATTTTCCTGTTTATTTAGTCAAAACTTTTATTTATATTTTGCATTTGAATGTTTTTGTGTACCATTTGTTTGTAGTTGTTTACATGCTATAGTTGCATAGCCTGTAATGTGCCTCTATGCGTTACAGCATGTTTTGAAAAGTACCATTGTATAAACAATTTTTAATTTTTCTTTTAATGTAGTCAAAACTTTTATTTATATTTTACATTTGAATGTTTTATGTACCATTTGTTTGTAGTTTGTTTACATGCTATAGTTGCATAGCCTGTAATGTGCCTCTATGCGTTACAGCATGTTTTGAAAAGTACCATTGTATAAACAATTTTTAATTTTTCTTTTAATGTAGTCAAAACTTTTATTTATATTTTACATTTGAATGTTTTATGTACCATTTGTTTGTAGTTATTTACACGCTATACTTGCATAGCCTGTAATAGGGCTCTATGCGTTACAGCATGTTTTGAAAAGTACCACTGTATAACAATTTTTGAATTTTCCTGTTTATTTAGTCAAAACTTTTATTCATATTTTGCATTTGAATGTTTTTGTGTACCATTTGTTTGTAGTTTTTTACACGTTGTACTTGCATAGCCTGTAATGTGCCTCTATGCGTTACACCATGTATCGAAAAGTAGATACCATTGTAAAAAAAATTTTTAATTTTCCTTTTAATGTAGTTAAAACTTTTGTTTATATTTTGCACTTGAATGTTTTATGTACCATTTGTTTGTAGTTGTTTAAACGCTATACTTACATAGCGTGTAATGTGCCTTTATCCGTTACTCCATGTTTTGAAAAGTACCATTGCATAAAAATTTTTAATTTTTGTTTTAATGTAGTCTAAACTTTTATTTAAATTTTGCATTTGAATGTCTTTTTTGTAGTGTTGCAGACTATACTTGCATAGTCTTTAATGTGCCTCCATGCGTTACAGCATGTTTTGAAAAATACCACGTATTAAATTTTAAATTTTCCTTTTAATGTAGGTAATCAAAATTTTTATTAAAATTTTGCATTTGAATGTTTTGTGTACCATTTTGTTTGTAGTTTTTACCTTATTGCTACAATTACTAATAATAAATAAAATAATAATAATTTTTCAGTGTATTAATTTTTTTTTATTTTTCAAGAATCTAACAGCAACAAATTTATAGTTACTTCTACAAAACTGTAAATACAGTCCTGAATACACTGTAGTGATACACTGCGGGAACCGTATTTATACGCCATAGTACTTCATCGACTGACTGCGGGAAGCGTGTTGATCAGCACAGACATGAAACAGCCGTACCAGAAACCATACTACTTTTATAACTAGCCGCAGTGAATTATTGCGCAGTGTATTATTTTTGATTCTTTAAGTATAGTAAAAAAAATATGTCTCTGTTTTACTACCATTAAAAATTAATAATTTTTGAGTGGGTTTCTTGAAACCTTATGTCTTATATCATTTAGTAATCCTGGATATTTATAAACTAGTGTCATTAGGGTACCATAAGTTGGTTTTATTATTTTGAAACTTGATTCAATTGGAATTGTTTTACTTTGAGTTGGCTAACTTTTAACACCAGGTTATATTTAGAATGACAAGCTTATGCAAATTAGGGAGCATGACCCCCTGGTAGGGCAAATTAGGGATAGCTATATACAAATTAGGGAGCACATTCAAATTAGGGACAGGTGTATGCAAATTAGGGAGCACATTCAAATTGGGGATAGTTGTATGTAAATTAGGGAGCACATTCAAATTAGGGATAGCTGTATGCAAATTAGGGAGCACATTCAAATTAGGGACAGGTGTATGCAAATTAGGGAGCACATTCAAATTAGGGACAGGTGTATGCAAATTAGGGAGCACATTCAAATTAGGGACAGGTGTATGCAAATTAGGGAGCACATTTAAAATAGGGACAGGTGTATGCAAATTAGGGAGCACATTCAAATTGGGGATAGCTGTATGCAAATTAATAAACACATTCAAATTAGGGCAGGTGTATGCAAATTAGGGAGCACATTCAAATTAGGGACAGGTGTATGCAAATTAGGGAGCACATTTAAAATAGGGACAGGTGTATGCAAATTAGGGAGCACATTCAAAATAGGGACAGGTGTATGCAAATTAGGGAGCACATTCAAATTAGGGACAGGTGTATGCAAATTAGGGAGCACATTCAAATTAGGGGCAGGTGTATGAAAATTAGGGCAGGTGTATGCAAATTGCTCATTTTTTGCTCTACTCCTACGCTATTTCTTCCCTACTCTTAGGGCCGGTTTTACCAACAACAAATATATCACTGAATAGTTAATCGTCGAATAAAATTTATTAGTAGAATAAATTTTATTCCGTTTCAATAACTATTTGTAATCCACAGTTAGTTATTCGTCGAAAAGTTCAAAGTGTAATGATTTTCCACAGACTGTACTCGTTGACACCTCTCTTGGCCTCCACCTCTTAGGTGTTTGGCCGGGCACATCGCACTATTTTTCACTGTAATCATATACATAACCTATAATATTTGATATTGGTTGATTATCTGTTTGTTGTGGTTGTGAATTTGAAAATTGTAAAAATGAAAAAAAAAAAACGTGAGAGGAGTAAAAATTATTAAGAGGAAGAAACGGAGAACTTAATCCTCAATAATCGAAAAATATAAAGAAATAAGAACATAATAGAAAATAAGAAAACGGAGAGTGTTTGGTCGAAACAAAAGAATGCCACATGGGAAAAGATAGCGACGGAGTACAACAGTATTAGCAAAACTGGGATTCGAAATGGGATACAGTTGAAACTGTTGTACGAGGCACTCAAAAAAAGAGTTAAAAAACTCAAAGCTGATGATAAGGTAGGTAGCATAAAATTATAGATATGTTTAGAATGAATTTTAAACAATATTTTTTATAATGAAGTTTTTAAACCTTGCAATTTTTACAGGTTCAGACATACATAACAGGAGGTGGTATGAAGGTACCAGTGATGACACCTCAAGATGACAGGATTGTTGTTATCATGGGAGTCCAAATAATCCCTATAGAGACTTTGTATGATAGCAATAATATGCATATGCCTGAGGATGTTTATCAAGGTAAAGTGTAATATTATTTGAGATTAACATAAAATAGTCAAGGTTGTATATCATCTGACTACTTAAACACTATACATGCCACAATTATGTTCACATTGTGTCTGCAACTGGACGGGATTATGCAGAAACGATCCAACCTACACTTTATTAAAACAGATATTAGCCAAAAACTTTACGATAAAATTCTCTATTCAAAATAATCATGATTTAACATTAGAATAGTTAATATATTATGCATTACATTTGATTTAACACATACTGTTCAGTGATTCAAGAAAACATGCATTAGGTGTTTTGCATAATGGAACCAACTCACATGGATCTATTCTGCCGAACGCTGACATTCTACAACGATAATGTTGGCTGGTTTTTCACTCATAGAGGATGGTATATATCTTATGTGGCTCGGTTCTTTTTTGCACAAGCATCTACGAGGTATTTTACAACCTATGAGACTGTTAATAGTAAAAATTCATATTTTTGGCTCAATTCCTTTCTACAGAATCCCGTCCAAGTACAAACAGTTTTTAATAACATAATTGCATTGATCCTTATTTTGCTTGTAGGTGATATAAGCCACTATGAAGGTGATGATGCTATGGAGGACATACCACTTCAATCACCTCCTGCTATGGATATCCCCAGTACGTCCAGCAGTATTCTGCCAAGAATCGTAATACAAGGTAATAATGTAATTTTAAATACTATAATGATTACTTAACGATTACTTACAAACATAAATATTGCTTGCAACAATCTTGGCATAAATATCAGTATCAGAAAAACCAAGTATATGGTCTACAGTAAAAACATGACAACCAGCACATATTAGTATAAACATCATTCAAATTGAAAAAGTATCAAGTTACAAATACTTAGGAACTTTAATAAACAAAACTGGAGACCAAAACAATGAAATAAAAAAATGTATCGAAATTACATTATAACAAGTGCTCGAAACAAATGAGAAGCATTTAATAGGCCTATTGGGCAATTTAATAAACACTCATTTTAAATAATTTTATTATCTATTTTCAAACCTTCTTCTTCTTCGGGTTCCTTCTCCTAGCGGAGGTTGGAAATTATCATCGCTATTTTAACTTTGTTGGCCGCATTTCTGAATAATTCTAATGAGCTGCAGCCGAACCACTCTCTCAAATTTCTTAGCCAGGACATTTTGCGTCGTCCTGGGTTTCTCTTCCCTTGTATCTTCCCTTGCATAATCAACCTCAGTAATACGTACTTCTCACCCCTCATTAAATGTCCCAGATATTGAATCTTTCTAATTTTAACAGTTTTTATGACTTCACATTCTTTCTCCATTCTTTGTAACACCTCTATATTAGTTACTTTTTCAATCCACGATATTTTATGCATTCTCCTGTAGCACCACATCTTAAAGGAGTTTAATTTTTTGATTTCAGACTGCTTTATTGTCCACGCTTCCATGCCATATAGTAAAGTAGAGAAGACGTAACAACGTAGCATTCTTGTGCGAATCTCTAGATTAAGGTTACAGTTGCAAAGTAATTTCTTCAATTTTATGAACGTGTTTCTTGCCATTTCTATTCTAGATCTGATCTCCTTTACTTGATCTCCATCTTCGGTTAGCCACGTTCCTAAATATTTATATGTTTTTACTCTTTCTATCGTTGTATTATTGTTGATCAGGTTATTTACATTTTGTGGTTTTTTTGAGAATATCATTGATTTCGTTTTCTTGAGATTCATTTGCAGTCCGTAACTTTCACATGCATTGTATACATGTTGTATTATGTACTGTAGATCTTCCATGTCACTTGCAAATATGACAGTATCGTCGGCATAGCTAATATTATTAATGCTATTTCCGTTGACATAAATACCTTCCACGATATCCAATAAAGCCTCTTGAAAAATCACTTCACTGTAGACGTTGAATAAGAGTGGTGAAAGGATACACCCTTGTCGAACTCCTCTAAGTATACTTACTTCCTCTGTCAGTTCTCCTTTGACTCTTACTCTTGCTTTCTGGTTTTGATACAGATTCGATATAATTTGTAGATCTCTACTATCAATGTTTTTAGTCTTAAGAATACTTAAAAGCTTCTCATGTTGAACTCTATCAAAAGCTTTCTTGAAATCCATAAAGCAAGCATATATGTCCTGATTCATATCCAGGCATCGTTGTGTCAGAACATGGACTCCAAATAATGCTTCTCTAGTTCCTAGACCCTTTCTGAAACCCATCTGTGAATCACTTATTTCTTGTTCTAATTTCATGTGGATTCTGTTATGTATGATTTTAAGGAAGGTTTTCAATGTATGGCCCATTAACGCAATTGTTCGATAGTCATTGCAATCTTTTCAAACCATTTATATATTAATATTTCAAATATATAAATGGTTGTATTTGTGAATGCTTTTAAAAAAATATTTTTTATGCAATATAAGTATCCATATGTTTTTACAAATGATAAAAATTCATGTTTTTTTACAGATGCAAAATATTCATCACAGGGAGGTAAATCAGTAACGTTAAAAACACCAAAAAGGAAGAGGCAATGTGCTGAATGTGAGGAAATGGGAGACAAGAAGAAGGAAGTGTTGGAAAGAAAATTAGAAATATTAGATATTGTAAGGCGTAAGGAATTAGTAGAATTAGAGTTAAGACAAGTAGAATTAGTAATGAACAAAGCAGAAGCAGAATAAACAAAATAAACATAAGAGAAATTAATAAATAATACTTTATACCTTATAAATGTGTTTTATTTACAATATGATATTCTTTATACAGGCTAAACCCTATGCATAAGTATTAGTATAAATTGTATCAAATGAAATACCACACAATTATTTACAAAAATCAAAAACATATACATATTATAAATATCGTCAACACATTAACAGAATACGTAACATTTATTTATTAACGGGAGGATCTTTTTTGCATTTAAATTTTAAATATAAATATAAACATCCTAAACTAACTAAAAAATACCACACAATTATTTACAACAAATTTACAAAAATCTGAAACTTAAAAACATACATTATAAATATCGTCAACACATTAACAGAACACCTAACATTTATTTATCTATTAAAGGGAGGACCCCTTTTTGCAGTTAAATTTTAAATATAAATATAAACATCCTAAACTAACTATGTTTAACAATCAAAAATATAAATAGCAGCAACATATAAATCAGGGCTTCTTAAACTGTGGGTCGCGACCCCCAGGGGGGTCGCAAAGATCTGATACTTTTCAATCATTATAAATACAATTCTAAAATTTTCAAATTAGTATGTACAAATATAAATACAAATAAAAATTATACAAAATACTATTGTAGTTTTATTACAACTATTTTTTGAAAAAAGTGACAATGCAAAACTGTTATGTAGGGCCTATAAATGAAAATATGGAAGTAGCATTTAAAATAATAAATACAACGCGCTCCTCGATTTTCAACTGAACGTTCGACATTGATGTCTGGCCGCCGGCGCCAGTGTTTGCAAGATAACTTAGTGATTATAAGTACCCAGACGCCGCGTCGCCTTACAGCTTACACATGCAATACGGAAGCATAATCAAGCTAGGCTAGGGGAATCGGCATATTATTTTTATAAAAGAATAATAAAAAATTAAATAAAAGCTTCTTTTTCAGCGTCTTTGTGATACGGTGCCTTTGTGCGCTGCACACTTTGAACACGCCATGCGTCGGGGTTGATCTGATCGTAATTTGTTGTCATTGCACTGGTAAAGATTCGAATGTATTTATTTTTCTGTTTGTACTTCAGTTTGGACTCAGCTTTGTCTTCGTAGTGAGATGTGTGTATTTACTGTGTAATTTTCAGTTGGTGTTAAATTTTCAGTTGGTGATAAATGGCTAATTAAAATTCCAACTAATAGGTCTGCCACGCCGTCACAACCAAATTGCAGTGCTTCAAATCTAACTTCTAGCAAAACAAAAAAAAAAGAAAATATGACGAATCATATTTGCAATATGGCTTCACATGCTCTTCTCACAACAATGAAGAACAACCAGTGTGCTTAATTTGCAAAGAATTTTTGGATGCAGAAAGCATAAAACCGTCAAAACTGCAACGACATTTGAATACTAAACATGCAACGTTATCAAAAAAGCCAATAGAATATTTTGAGCGCCTTTTGCAAACATCAAATAAAGAAAAGAACACTTTGGAGAAGTATGTTACTTTGAATGATAGATATCTATTGGCATCGTATGAAGTTTCGTATTTGATAGCAAAAACGAAAAAGCCTTTTACTATTGGAGAGCAACTTTTACTACCTGCAGCTATAGGAATGTCTGAAATTGTTCATGGAAAACAGTATGCTGCTGAAATTAGTAAAATTGCATTATTAAATGACACTGTGTCCAAAAGAATTTCAGACATTAGCAATGATCAAATCATCATCAAATGAGCAAATGATGACATTTCAAAAATGGCACAGTTGTTACTTTTTGTAAGATATATTTATGAGAGAAGCATCCATGAAGATATACTGTTTTGTCGTCCTCTGGAAGGTCATACTCGTGGAAAAGATATATATAAAAAAGTAAATGAGTTTTTTGAAAAAGAAGGATTAAATTGGAAAAATTGTGTTGGTGTGTGCACGGATGGTGCTGCAGCAATGACCTGACAAGATCTTGGTTTTACAGCATTTGTTAAAGCTGGAAATGATCATATTACATTTACACATTGTATGATTCACCGAGAGGCACTTGTTGTTAAAAAAATTGCACCAGAATTAAACACTGTGTTTTTTGATGCAGTCACAATCATTAACTTTATTAAAAGTCGAGCACCTAATAGTCGATTGTTTAAAAATTTATGCATTGATATGGATTCGGATTATACAAGTTTATTGCTACATGTTGAAGTTAGGTGGCTATCAAGAGGTTGAAGTTTGAAACGATTATTAACTTTAAAAGATGAAGTTCTTATATTTCTAACAGAGCAAAATTTTAATTTGGCCGATTATTTTCACGATAATTTATGGCTTCTCAAGCTATGCTATTTGGCAGATATTTTTGATAAAATCAATGATATGAATTTATCAATGCAGGTAGTCTGCGTTAATATGTTTATGTTAAAAAGTAAACTTGAGGCCTTTGTTAAAAAAAATCTTATATGGAAGAACAGAGTGGAAAGTGGATCGCTCGAAATGTTTCCATTTACTGACGAGTATATAATTAGTAACAATATTTCAAAAAAAGATACTCCTATAACAAAAATTATAGTAAATCATTTGAAGGATATGGAAGTTTACATGCATAGGTATTTTCCCAATGATATCGATACACAACAATGAATTTGCAATCCATTTTCAATTGAAATGAAAGAAATTAATTTTTTAAACTTAAAAGCACAAGAAGAATTTGCCGAATTAACAAGTGATACTACTTTGCGACTGAGATTTTCTCAAGTGCCTCTGCATGAATTTTGGATAGAAATCAAATCAAAATATCCCCTACTATCGGAAATGGCAATGAACATATTTAACATATTTATGTGAATCAGCCTTTTCCACATTAACTTACATAAAATCAAAATACCGTTCAACTTTAATAAACGTTGAAAATTTCTTACGATCTGCACTAACTCAAATTGAGCCTAGATTTAATTATTTGTGTAAAAATAAACGATCACATCCGTCACATTAATATTGTTTGATGTTAATAATATATTTTTATTAAAAAAATTGTTACAAAAGTTTATTTTTTCTATTGAATAAATATATATATATATATATATATATATATATATATATATATATATATATATATATATGTAACAATAAAACACTGAAAACTTTGTTTTCAAACTTCCACAAGATTTATTTGAAATATTATCACTACAGCTGTTTCGGCTGATTGCCTTTCCCAAGTGATCTATTTTGGCTTGGGTTTACAAATTTATAGTCTCTAATGAAATAGGTTGAGGAGGGGAGAACTGTTTGTCTCAAGTTGGTCATTCAGAATTATATCTGTGTTTTTTAATTTGTTGATTTTCAAAGATTCTAACAAAGATAGCTTAAGGCCTTTATTTTGAATGTGAAGAATTTTAAATTTGTCATTAAAAGAATGATTATGATCTAGAAGGTGAAGTGCGTATGTCGAATCTGTTTTTCTATTCTTGAAAGCCCTTTTATGTTCTGCTATTCGTTTATCAAAGTTTCTACCAGTTTGACCGATGTAAGTTTTTGGGCAGTCGCCACATTCAAGTTTGTGCACACCACTATTTAAGCGTTTTTTATTTTGGCTCTTGTTATTTTTAATATATTTGCCCAGGTTGTTATTTGTTCGGAAAGCTGGTGTTATTCCTTTCTTTTTTATGTGTTTGGCAATTTTTGTTGTTATTTTGCCTGTATATGTAATCGAGCAGAAGGTACTGAGTTTTTTCTCTGGTGGTGGAAATACTAATTTCAGGGCTTTCTTGTGTAGTTTTTGATTTAACACTTTATTAATTGTTTGTTCGTTGTATCCGTTGTTTACTGCTATCTGCTTTATTATATTTAATTCTGTCTCAAAGTTGTATTTTGACATAGGAATTTCTGTTAATCTATGTAACATACTATGATAAGCTGCCAGTTTATGTTGTGTTGGATGGGATGACGAATTGTGTATAGTCGTGTCAGTATGGGTAGGTTTATGAAATATGGAGAAGTCATGTTTGTTTTGAAGTCTGCTAATTTTTAAATCTAAAAAATTTATGGATTGATTTTGTTCTGTTTCTATTGTAAATTCAATATGACTATGAAGTGAATTAATATATGATAAAAATTGGTCCAGTTGCCTGTTAGTTCCTGTGAAACATACCAGTACGTCGTCTACGTATCTCCACCAATATAAAAACTGTTTGAATACGGGATGTTTTGAAATCTTTGTCTCTAGATGATCCATAAAAATATCTGATAGCAATGGGCTTAGAGGATTACCCATTATAAGTCCTGCACTGTTATTTGTATAAATTTTTGTAAACAAAATTTGCAATACCATTATTCAATACCTGATAAAAAAAATTATGGTAGTTTCAATATTATTCTTTACAATAGTTAAAGCCCAATTGACAAGCCCACAATAATCATTAAGATTACTATAATCAAAATTTTCAATGTCCAAGTATAATTCAGTGGATGACCAGTTAAAAGTAGTACCTAAACAAATATCACATTCAGTTGCAGTGTGATGAAAATTGTTCTTCAATATTAAATCAAAGGTTTGAACTATAGTTACTAACCGAGGATGATTACAGAATAAAAATGTAAGAAATATGTTATGAGAGTTATGTATGGGGTAAACTTATTTTAAATCTAAAAAAGACAAATATTCATTTATAACAGTAGCAGGCTAACCCATAGGGAAGTGTGCTGATAAACCATCTTGATGAGATAAATTCCACAAACTCAAAGTATAATTTTTATAAGTCTAAATAAGTATATATTCTATAATAAGTCTATTCTATATATAATATTCTATAATAAGTCTAGAACACTGTATTAATTAAAGCTGTTCTTACAGCATTATGATTATTGGGCAATTCTTGAAGTGGAAGTTCTGGTTGTTCCAATGTAATTGGTATTTCTCCATTTGGTACTTCATCACCTATTCCAATTGCCATATTATGTAAAACAGTAGTTGCAACTATAACAGCTAACGTTGTTTGCTCCTTGATGCGCATAC